GATTTCTTAATTTTGGGTTGGAAAAGTGGGGGTCGTCTTGTACATGGGGGCGTCTTATTGACGGGAAAATACGGTACTTTATGTGCCCCTCTGCTGTTTATTTCCATACTGCTTTTTAACAGCAGAGGGGCACATAAAGTACATTTTGCTATTCTCAAATGTCACAGATTTTACAAAATTTATCATACAAGTGGATCATTTTGGACTTTGTTCAGCATATAAAATCTCCAAAATGTTACCTTTAATACAGTGTGCATTTAATGATCTAATAAGCAATATGGCCACCATGTATTATAAATGGACTGGCTAAAAAGTAAGCACCTTTATGTAAGAGGAGAAATATTAGCTTATTCTACTATTTAACTTCAGACACAATCAAAATAAAAATATTTAATATTCCTTCATCCCTTTATTATACAAATTTTAATTCTTTCAGACTAATAAAAAACAGTGTTAAAAGTACAGAATTATCTTCTATTATTCCAAAGACAGAATTAGATCTTTACATTACTTCAGAGTCAAGATGAATAAGAATAATACTTGTTCCTAAACTATTCTCTCCCCTTCCACTGATACAAGTATTTGAATTATCTCTACTTGGAGGCTATTATCACTAGTGAAATAACATTGATGGAATTCTTTTGTTGATAAAAGGTGCTATTTTGGAAATTTCTTGTCCCTTAGAAATCTTGGCAGGCCTCCCCACCTGAAAAAAAATATTTTGATTAATTCCAAGGCTTTCCATTTAAATATTGGTTTGGGAAGGACTTACAAAACAGTGAACATATATGCAGGTCAGATTTGTAAAGCAAAATAACGCAACAGGGCCTGAGGAAATCACAGAACTGTGCTATGAAATCACTACTTAGTTCCTATTCCTTTCCCATTTGATTTAATTAGCTAGTAAAGTTTGCCCAATCCCAGCAGAGAGCAGCATTTGGTCAGCTTTGTTGGTTTGGGGCACTAAGCAAACTTTGGCCTGGTTAGTACTGTACAGGTATTCCTTGACTTACAATGGCAACTGGGACTAGAATTTCTGTCGCTAAGCAATGCAGTTGTAAAGTGTGATTGCATCACTTAGCACAGCAATTCCTGCAGTCCCGGTTGCTATTGTTAACGGAATCCCACAATCGTTAGGTGGGGCAACTTCCTGCCGGCTTCCCATAACCAAGTCAGTGGGGAAGCCGGCAGGAAGTTATAAGTCCCAGGCAGTTTGTAAGCAGGTTGGCAGGCAGGTAAGTGGCTGCTGCCAGATGCGGGAGGGCGCAAGCAGGTGTGAGGGTGCGAGGGAGGTGCGGCAAGACTCGGGGGGTATGCGAGGTTGTTGTGGGGAGGCTCAGGGATGCTGTGCGGGTGTGCAAGGGAGGCACAGGGAGGTAGTGTGAGGGTGCAGGAGAGGTGCAGCGGGGCTTAGCGAGGGCATGTACGAGGGAGGTGTGGCAAGGGCCGGGGAGGGTGTATGTGAGGGAAGCGCAGTAAGGCTTGGTGAGGGTGCGTGTAAGGGTGCGAAGGAGGCACGGCGAGGCCCTGGGAGGGCGCATGGGGTGCATGAGTGGTGGGGAGGCGCAGTGAGGCTTGGGGAGGGTGCAGAGGTGTGTGTGAGTGACCGGTGTGGCGTGAGCACAGAGGGGCTGGGGGAGGGTGCATGAGTGGGGGAGATTTACCCCAGCACCTTGTGACCTTCCCTCCTGGCTTCCCCATTGACTTTCTGGGAAAGCCAGAATGGAAGTTCGCAAATGGAGATCATGTGATTGTGGGGTGCTGCAACCAGTCGTAAGTGCGAGCTGGTTGCCAAGCACCCAGATCATGACCACATGACCATGGGGGTGCTGGGATGGCTGGATCTCCAAGGACCAGTTATAACCACCATTTGTTCAGTGCTGTTGTAATTTCAAACGGTCGCTGAACGATGGTCGTAAATCAAAGGCTACCTATATTTGAACAGAATTCTGGGAAATACTAGGGTGGTAGGATAAATTGAGAAAATGAAATGCATCTCAGAAAAAGAAAATAACAAATTGCTTCCATACTGCTGCCAAGAAAACTGAGGTCTAACATGTCTTATATATTAAAATACTACATTATAAACCAATCTGGACAAGATGCTGGACACAGAAAATGTAATTTTTTAGGAAACCGTTAAATATTTTAAAAGATAATTAAAAGAACTATCACGAGAACTACAAAAAACCAGAGTGATGTCAAGAAATACCTGCATCTTTCTGGAGAATCCTCCCTGTCTTTCCTTCGGAACTTGCTGATGGTGTCATCAATAGTGCTCCCAATTTTATCACTCAGTTCGCCTAGCTTATCACTGAAGGGAAATCCACCTTTGTTTTTATCCCATTCCTCATCCCATTTTGACTTGGGCTCAGCATCATATCTTTCACCTACATAATGTAGACAGATAGTCAAAGAATGAAAGAAAAGAAAAAAGAGATTACCCCTAAAATACTACTACTTGTGTTTTATCCCTATGATAGAACTTGAATCTGAGTTAAAAACAAAAAGCTGAACATTTTTACAGAGCTGAATCAACACATGTTATATTGCACATAATACTAATATTTTATTGGCACAAATATATTTAAAAGATGTTGTTAGTGACAATTATCCAATGTATACCATGCTAGCTAAGCTTAAACACTGTAAAAGTAGATACAAAGGCATCCTTCCTTCTGCCCAACAAAATGAAGGTCATATAAACCATGTATGACAAATAAAGCCCACAAATATAATAAATGTTCATTAGTACACTTTTAACCAGGCTGTCATGGGGAACTCATACCAAACCCTGCAAGACGGCAATATTTCTAGCCTCAGTTAACAATTTTAAACTCTCTTCAAAGTCTTTAATGACGATGCAGCACATTATCCCCTTATGTGCTAGTTAGGAGTTTTTAATTTCTCCATTCTCCCACTCTCACCCCACCCCACTCCCCCAATAGCTACATAAACAAAATTTGCTTTGCAAGAGAGCCAACTGGCTGTGAACTGTAGTAGAAGGTGCCAGTTTTGTTCAGTTGTTTTTAAATACAGTTTTAACTGGTTAGGTTTAAATTCCATTCAGTTATTTAGGTAGCCAAGAGCTAAAACAGGGAAGACTTAAAACTGAGTATAATTCCTTGTAGAATTATTTAAAATTCTCAAATAAAACTGTGATTTTGCTTGCCAAATTCTTCTAATTTGAAAGAATATACTGGCCAAATACAGATCATTTCCCACATTAAAGTCCTATCATCTGTGTCATAATAATGCAGAGTAGCTTTTCATTTAATTTCTTTTGGGGGCAATCCAGCAAACAGTGGCCCAAAGAATTTCAGTTATAATTGCTGAGGTGTACCTACTGATGTTCTGTAGTGATACTAGATTATGTGCAACATGAAACAACTCATGGATAAGTAGTTAACCCTGTTATACCAAAGTACACATGCTAAGAGTAAAGAAATAAAGACTCATACATTACTTACATGTGAAACTTCTCTCTGCACACTTCCATTAGCTCATGGCAGGTTTTTTCCCCCAATCAGAAAATACTAAGTCTACTCCTCTGCTCACACAACTCCATTATACATGAGACCAGATGACCACAGATAAGAAATACAACATCCACGGAGACAATATGCCGCTACTCTATCCCTTGTCCCTTGGCTCCATTTGTGTTTAATTTTCTTTTTAGATTCTTTTAATTTTTCTCTAAACATGAGAAACTGACCTACTGCAAAGCAATATACCATCTTGAGTTACAAGAATGCCTCTGGGTGCCTCACAGACATTCTTAGAAAAGAAAAACAGTTGGTGACAGTAGCTGAGTGCTTTGTTAGAAAATGTGCTTCCATATCCAGAATAAAAAGACAGGATAGGAAAGGGTAGGAGCATGCACAAAACTGTCTCAAACCTGAAACAAACCACTGGATTTCAGAAGTTCTGACAAATTGTTTTGGACTGCCCATGGACTGCTGAAACAAAACAAAACAAAAAACTGGCTTGGTTGCTCCAGGTTCAGATAAAACAAAGTCTGGAGGGATCCTGAAGCAGTTTGTGGGGTGAGTAAGGCAAGGCAGTATAGAACAGCCCCCTAGGGTGACATTTCTCGTTGGCCTCCCACCTCCCAATCTTCCCACTCCTTTCCCTTCCCTTCTCTCTCTCCTGTATTCCCCTCAGCTGCAAAGTTGCAAAGGAAGCCCCCCAGCCTCAACATTTCCGCTGGGCACATCTTCTTTGATAGCACATTTTGTTCTACAAACAACTGAAACAAATGCATTTCCATTTGGGCATGGACCACCCAAAAACAGCTGTACTGTGCATGGAATCGGCATGGAATGGTTCTTGTAGGGAAAAATTGGCATTTAGCAAGAAGCATCAACAGGAGCTAAATGTGACATTAAAAAGCAACCTCACCTGCTTGCTTTCTGTTCAATGGTTGTGTCTATGTGTATGTGTTTTTCTGACTGATCCCAACTGTTCGGGCAGCCACTTTATGACAGTATAAGAATCAGCCCAATGAAGGAGTTGTTTCAGTAATTTTTGCCTGCAACAGCTTTTCTTAATTTGTGGTCCTCCAGGTGAACTGAGGAATATACTTCACAGAATCTGCCAAATTATAGTCCCAACTTCTCTCGAGATCACCAAGCAGAGTGATCCAAAGCGCTATTTCAAATCACCAATACCCGCTTGCACACAAAACTACATGATTCTGCTCCCCTTCACATATACTAAGCCATCATGAAAAAAATAATTATTTCAACATTAGGAAATAAATCTTCAAAAAATGTGAAAGTTCCTTTCCTGTACAGGTAGTCCTTGTTCAGTGACTGTTCAAAATTACAATGGTACTGAATGATGAGACTTATGATCGATCCTCTTGGTTGCGGCCATTGAGGTGTCCCTGTGGTCACGTGATTGCGATTCAGGCGCTTGGCAACTGGCTCACAATTACGACATTGGAGCATCCTGTGGTCACATGATTACCATTTGCAACCTTCACTGCGGGCTTCCCACAAGCAAAGTCAATGGGGAAGCTGGCAGGAGGTTGCAAATGTTGACCAGGTGATGTTGTGCCACAGGACTGCGTGGGATTTGCCTAATGACAGCAACTGGAACCGCCGTCCTAAGTCAGTGTGGTCACATGACATCATGCTTTATGACTGTGTCGCTTAGCAATGGAGTTCCCGGTTCCAGTTACTGTTGTTAACTGAGGACTACCTGTAGTGCAACTGTGCTTTACCTCTCCCACCCCTGGATACAGTTGCTTAGATATATCAGATCAACTTCATTCAAATTATTATGTATTTATGTATGTATGTATCCATGCCCTACGTGTCTCTGTTTCCTCTATATTTCCTACTTATTTCTTGCCATACAAATATGTAGCTTTGGATCATTTCCCTCAATAAATAAATGAACAAGTATAATGTCTTTGACTCATTTGTTTAATTGGATTCTCTTTATCTAGTTTCAGGACTTGTGTGAACAGATCAGGTTTTAGGTCATATTTATGCAGAAATATTGAAAATTCAAAAGGGTTCACAAACTTTTAAGCACCACTATATGTCACTAAGGCCAACACCTGTCCCTCTCCATTAAACTGGACTTACTGTATCTGAATCCTCCAACACTGTCTGAAGAAACCCCAACATATTTATCTTTGTTTTTCTTTGCCTTTTTCCTTTCTTCACGGAGTCTGTCATCATCCTGGGCAAATTCTACCATTTCTTTCACTTTTTGGCGTATATTTATACCTTGGTCTTTACCATTCTCATCTGAAAAAAAGTGCACACAAAAAGAAACTGGGAATAGTCTTTAACCTCAAGCATTTGGAGAAATTTATATATAAAATGAATTCAAGAACTGCTAAGGTTATGCATTCTAAAGCAATTTTATTTATTGAATATATGCTATACTTTTTATAGCCAATATTTCATCTTAAGTTAAGGTGACAGCACTAGAGCACAATTTCAGTTTCTACAGTTTTCTAACCCACATTGATCTACTAAAAAGCTTACTTAAAAAAAATGAAAAACATGATGCTTGAAAACATTTCCTGTCAGTTTTAACCCACTTAAAATAACCTTGCTTCTCAAGTCTTTAGGAAGGGGTGGGGTATTTGAAAAGGAAAAAAAAAAAAAAAAGGAACCAGATTTTTTAAAATGCTAATTGCTAGCTTTCTAACTTGCTTCAAAACTCTCTTTTTAAAATCTTATCAGCTGGAGTCCACTACACACTAAAATTTGCTCCACCTCTCTAAGCCTCTTTTTTATTCAGAATAAACACTGGCCTTGCTGCCTGTGTACCGCAAATATTATTTGGTAGAAGGAAAAAAATCTCTAGCTTCAAACAGATGTGTATGTTTTGGAGCTCTAACCTTTCTTCCCAGATGATTAAAGCTATTCCTTTATATACACCACAGGGAACAAGCCTCTAGTGCATATTTTAATATAAACCCAAACACTCATGTTGTGTTGGTTCTGTTGTTATTAGCCAGTCTTTTCTGCAAGTTCTTGTCTTCACTAATTAATACTCTAGGGCCCCACGTCTTGGATTCTGCACTCTTCACACAACCGGCAACAGTCACATTCTAATTAGAGCAGGGGAGCTTCTAAGCTGGTTCAGGTGACTGACAACTCCAACAACTGCTTTAATTTGCTTATAAGATTCTTCTATCGCTCACCTACAAAGTGGTAATTTTCCAGGGATCGCAAATCATAAATGTGTTCTCTGGCACTTGTAACAACACGCTCTGATCCATTCCTTATGAGGTAAGATAGCAGCAGCAGAGACTATAAAAATACAAAGCATCTTATGACTGCATGAAAAATGCCATCAGTATTTTAAACTGCAATGAAAAGGAAAGCTTAAACGTGCAAGAATTAGAAAGAAAGGTAGGATTCATTCTGGTTAAAATAAGCCAACTGTAAGAATGTTACAGAACTGCTGGCAACACAGTGTGTAGATGTAAATCTATGTTTTGCACTAAAACAAAGGAATAAAAGGAGAACATTAATTCATAAGATATTTGCCTGAAGAATGATTTTTTTTTTTTTAGGATGGGAAAAATTACAGTTAAGGCAATTTGGGGAAAAACGTTCTGAAGTCTAAAGACTGAAACAATTTTCTTTTGTGTCTCTCTTTTTTTGCAATTACTTTATTCCCCAGTGTTTTTCCATTTAAAAGCAATTTTACAGCAATTTTTCTATGTCGTTTTCTGCAGGAAATGTGTTGATGTATAAAATTCAGTATTTTCAGATAAATGTAAGCAAACTTCAAAACAAAAATAAGTTTTTAAAGTATGTTAATTTTCTAAACTTCCTGAAGGTTCCAGAGTTTGACTCTTTTTAAAAAACAAAAATCAGACAAATGAAATGGAAAAAACCCCCACACACCCATAGAAATAATTCAGCATCAGCAGAAACATAAATTGTAACAACTGAAAGCAAACAGATCATTCTACGTAGCCTTCAGAATACTGAACAAAATGCATAATGGCAATAAAATTAATTTATATTGTTTTTTGTTTGGAGCAAATAATTACTAATACAAAACTGGCATAAAGTTCCTATTTTTAAAAAGGTAACAGCTTCAGAATTTTGTTGACTGTATAAGTTTTAAATGTAAAAGCCTCTTAGTGCTGCAAGATACAGGGAAAAAAATATGGCATTAGGCATACTTGAATTTCACTGCAAGTAAAGCAGAAGAAATGAAGAAGAAATAAAACTGAAGTGGGCACGTGGTGGGAAGCAAAATAAGAGGTAACTAATTGGTTCTATTTCCAGTAAGATAAAAGAAGAAATATAAAATTTAATAAATAAGCCTGGGCATTGAGGGGGAAAAAACAGAATGTATAAAAGGAATCAAAAATAAATGTAGAATGTTCCTTTAACAGTTTCAAACTGAACTTTTAAAAGGAACATTCAGAACAAATATTTAAAATTGGGTCTATCAGTAGTGGATTGCTAGCAGGGATTTAGAAGATCGAGTTACGGAGGATCCCTTATTTGGTTTTTATTAAGCAATAAAAGTCAAAATTGCCAGAAGGCATTCAATTTAAGAGCCTTTTTAGAAAAACAACAACAACCTCTTCCCCCCTCCAAAAAAATCCCTTGGTTTTCAAAGCAGACTAGTTTCTTAAAAATGTATACTGGAAAAGAATTAACTTGATTAAAATCAAGCTTTACTAATTGCACACAGAGGATCTGGAAACCTGTGAAGTTTAGCATGGATATTATGTTAATGAAAGCACAAAACTCAGTTAATTGCCAGAGGACACTACGGTAAAATTAAAACATTCAGCTGTGTTTTTTCAGCATTCACAATTTATGCCAAAATTAAGATTTTTATAAATTAATACAAAAACTCATTACTGTACATACTTTATAAACTCTCCTCCAGTTCTTTTTATTGTCTTTTAACATCCGTGTCCAAAGCATGTTCATAAGTTCTGGAAACTGCTCGTACATGAAAGTGGCCCTAAAAAAGAAAAAGATGAAGATGAAGAAGAATGAGGAAGAAGAAGGAGAAAGAGAATTATTGATCGGGTTACTTTATGACAGCACTTGCATGTGACAGCAGATGGCAGACTTGCTCCAAGTTAAGCTTCCACTGCCAATACATTGCTATGGACAATTTGTACAAAAGTATTACATATACAGAATTACTCACTGGATTAGCAATGCTGATGTCTTTCCACCCTTCCACTGGCAATAATAAAAAATAAAGACACCCCTTATTATTTTAGTCCAACATGCCATTCATGTGCTCTTTGTGGGAAAGTATGTTTGTGAAGGAGCCCCATTTTTTAAATTTTATATATTTAAAAAACATTTTGCAAAATTCTAATCCAAAAGAAATATTAAGGGTTACTTAATAAATCCTTTTGGGACTGGTTGTTAAGCAAAGCGGTCACTAAGTGAAACTGCAACTGTGCTTATGATCTTACTACAGCTTTCCTTGCTTTACAGACCTGCAAAGGTCTTAAATGTGAGGACTGGTCGCAAAATTACTGTATCATTACCACTGTAACTACAAACGGTTGCTAAACGAGGCAGTCACTAAATGAGGACTATCTGTATTTAAAAATAGTTGCTTGTGATATTTGTTTTGCATCTTCCATCATTAATACTTTTCTCTCCCTAATTTATGTTATATCCTTCAGGAATGATGAAGCAGCAGTGACATATATACTTAAAAATGTACCTTTCAACCCTGCTGAATCAAATTATTACTTACTTGGCAATCTCCCCCATGAGTTGCCCTGAAGGTCCCCATGGATCATCATTGGTTGCTTCTCGAACCTTAGACTCAATTTCAGAATAATTCATAACCACATTGGTGCTGTACAGAACAGAATTAAATGCAAGCACAAAGATTAGCATCAAAGCAGAGAAACACATGAAAACTTAATAATGACACTAGTGGGGAGCTTAATGAGATACCTCTGCAGGGTGGGAAAGAAAACGTCTTTAGTGGAGAACTACCCTGAGGAAACTGGAACACATTTATCTATCTTTAAGAAGGTTTTACTATCCCATTAACCTTCCGGAATATAGATCAGAGATAAGGGGTTACATGAGACTTGGAACCAGTCGAGTTAAAAATGGCTTTTGGTTAAAATTAAAAAAGAAACTGAGCTGCTGAAGAAGGCAGTAGCAGCTCCAGGCACAGCTACTTGGCCTTCTTTCACAACCCCAATAAAACTATAGCTGTTTGCCACCTAACTTGAATGGAATCAGGTGAGAAGTGTATTTTTTAAAACCACTTCATTATGAAAAGTAAACTTTGTGTCTCTTCTTAGCAGATGCCCGTCCAATTGCAGAAAGGGAGGAAAAAAGGTGTAGAGCATTGTGATAGTATGAATGTAGCCTGAGCAAGGTAGAACAGTATGGTAAAATCCAAACAACCACACCTTACAGAAAAACTGTGAATCATCTTTGTGTTCAATGTCTTGCCTGTAAGAATTTTTTTTTATCAGCTGTATGAAATGCTGTATAAAAATGGCCTTTTTTTCCTTGTATTTCTACACAAATCCCTACAGGAAAAATTCATCTAATTAACATACTTCTAATTTTTTTCCAAACATGCACAGGAAATCAGATTAATCCCCATAGAATACAATGGCTAAATAGATTAGAAAACAAACAGTATGATTGACTCACAACTGTTTCACAAGAATTTCAGAATAAGGCTCACATTGAAGCCAGTGGATCTGAAAGAAGATACAAATCACTGCTCTAGGTAGGGTTAGGAACAGGTACATTTATATTCGTCTTACTGAAATTTCATTCATATGTGCTCTTAAATCATCCTAATATTGGGAACTTTTTTTTTTTAAATACATTCCAACAGTCATGTAGTTAGTGTCCTAATTCTGAGAATAAGAAAATTCTGTGATGGGCAAGATGAAAAGAATGAGATTTTTTATACAGTTAGCATTTTATGATTAAACAAACAAACAAACAAGATGGTTTCCTGGCTACTGCCATCCAACATAAGAGATTCCTACTCATTACTTTGCAAATGAAATCACTGACATATAACACAACGTATGCATATAATACAATGTATGCAAATATAAGCAGAGATTATATTTATGTGCTCAGAGGAGGTACGGATGATCACTTATGTTCTCCTTAGTTCTTCCCTATCTTGTTAAAGTGATGTAGGAACAATCAATCTGTTTTCAAAAAAGTGAAGTTACATTTTTGAAGAAAACAGTATTTTTCTATGTGTCTAGATGATCTTGATAACTCCAGGCCAGTCCCATATCTTTTATTCCTCCATCTCTCATTTAGGTAGCAGAAGGCTATAGCTCTCTTTCAGTCAGATTAGATACTGGGTCATAGATTGCCTTGAGCTAAACTGATTCTACAGACTGAGTGGACACATACACTACTGACATTCTGATTTCACAGCAGCTTTCAAAACCATTGCCCAATTTCTGTTAAATTGTTTAGGGAAATTGGTAAAGTATGGGTAAAACTTAACTCTGGTTCTTCAAGTCCTTATGGGCATTCACTAATGAGGGAGAACAAAAATTGAATTCAGTCAAAGTAGAGGGGGTTTAGAAAAACCCTGTGTCTATTTTGGTGAAAATAATGCTTTCCTTGAACAGGCAGGTTTACAGAAAGGTATTTTTCTAGAGTCAGACCATGTCCCAGTAGCAACTCTGGAATCTGAATCTAAAGAAAAAACAATGTATGATGGTACATGATATAAGGGGCCTCCTGGAGATTAAACGCTTAGTTACACATGCTGGCTGGGATCCCTTTCTGGAGAAACTGGAAGTGGCTGCTGGTCAGTAATGAATTTAATCATGCATCCACTGGATCTACTTATAAGAACCATGACTTTATAATAAAGAATCATTGCCTGTTGCAAACTTAAAACACTACCCTAGAAAAAATAAGACCCTTTAACCAAATGTGAAACACTATTTCCTGGCAGACTGGGAAAAAACAGAATTATTATGGAACTGCAAGAACTTTATATTAATAGCCAGTGATAGCTTCTCAATGTGAACCATACTCAATCTATTCTCTGATGAATCCTCCACACCTCCCATCTTAAAATGAGGTAAGAAGGTTATGACCAGTATCCCTCTTGGGAGGGAGATAAAGATACTTGCTGGACACAGAAGGCATCTTATTTGAATGATGGCCCCAAATTTGCAGGAAATGTTCAGAAGTGTGATTTACTAACTTCCTTGTCCCACACCTTGTAAAACTAATGAAGCAATGTGATATTTATTTATTTATACAAGTCTGGCAGGACGGGCATACTATGGGTCCTGTCAGCCAGGGAGCATCCTCTGGTGGGGCCCAGGAGGAGAGCCTTTTCTGCTGTGGCACCTGCCCTGTGGAAACATCATCCCCCTGGGATCAGACTGGCCTTGACCCTGCTGGCCTTTTGCAAGGCCTTAAACACATGGTTTTGCCAACGGGCATGGAGACCTGAGAGTGTGGCAGAGCTGGTGCAGTGGCTGTCCTGAATGTTTTGATGGATGTGATTATTTCCGCCGCAAATGTTATATGTTTTATGTTTTTCATATTGTTTTTCTTGTTTTTAAATTGTTGCATTGTCATTTGCTATTTTTATATTTGTCTCTAACTTTGTAAGCTGCCCAGAATCTTATATATGAGATGGGCAGCTATATAAATTTGAATAATAAATACCTATAGCTGATTTTGTAGACACAAAAATTGTTTTTTGTCATTGTTGTTCATACTGTGTTCTTCTAAAACTTGAGGGTAGAGTAGTTGGGATTGACACTGCTTTAACCCCCCCCCCCAAAACCCCTCCAAAATAAATTTGTTTTATTACCAGAGAGTTTTTAGTGTCAAAGGCTGAAATTAAATTTTATCTATACTGTACTTGCACGATATGTAATGTACCTGATACAAGTCAATCTACAAATGAAAATGAATACATACCCCAGAATGTGTCAAAATAGAGCAGTTTGTCTAACAACAATTAAAACTATATTTATTCACCACTAAAACTGAACCATCAAAACATACCCCTTCAGCCTAAAGTTCTGCAGTCCCCTTTTTCTACAGGCACATATTAACCTCATGCCAATTTTGATTCCCTTTCATATGGAACTGGTTTTCAAGACAGGCTTCAGAGATTTTGTAGCTTTCAGCACACAACTTCCCTTGTCTAATGTAAGAAATACCTGTAGATCAAATGCAAAAGGTTCTGTTTTTACAACCTTTCCCCAAGCTCTTGTTTGAAGGGTTGGAGGAAAGACTGGAAGATGGAGTGTTTCCTCCATTTCTTTAAGTTAAATGCTTAAGATTTCAAGTCATGCAGGAAAGAAAAGCCACAAGCATCCATTAACACACACAAACACCCCCCCCCAGCAGCCGCTTTAGAAGAAAAGTTCCCCGAGTAATGCAATCTGTGAGGTACTTAAAAAGATATTGTGAAACTTGAAAAACAGCACAAAACCCCAAACTACAAACAGCATGGACACAATGTATTTTCTGAATCCATCATGCTGTAAAAATATTGTTCTCAGCAAACAAAAGAAAGTAGTCATAAATCCCAAGAAGAGATCTAGCACAAAAAATCTTGCAGTCACATTTCATTCAGCAACAAATGTAAACCGGGAAGGGGGGAGGAGGGAGCAAGAGAGAAAGAGGGTTGTGTAGTTTGGCTACGTTCCAGGCCATTTAAAAATAACTGTTTCTAAAAAGGTGGAAATCTAGTTTTGTTCTTCCTTTCCCATGTTTTCTATGGCCCTCAATCCATGCCCTACCCATGATGCCTGTGACCTTTAAAGCAGAAAAAAATTTACTTCCAGATGTGAGGGGAAAAAGTGACTGGTTTGATTGCCAAGACTTCCTGTGATTGATATAAATTTGATATCTGAGGACACTTTCAGACACTAGGGGAGGGGGCTCCCAAGTTAGTTTATCCTGGGCCTCTTCCAAAGAATCTGGTTGGACTTCGTGGACAGAATTCTTTGCAAATAAGAGCGGGCTACAGAATAGCTGGATTGACAAATGGGCTGTGGACACTTTGTGCTTAGCGCTTGCTACACTCCAAGACGTTTTCTGGCAGAGGTTACCTCCTTTTTTCTCTGCCTCAATTAGAATCTTCATCATAAACCATTTTCTAAAAGTGTTCATATGAATAAAAGCAGAGAAATCTCATTTCCAACCCTAGGACTGTTTCAACAAAAAGTAATGTTAAACAGAGGTAAAGCCACTGATGTAATAGCAGTAAAAGAAAACAGAAGTTTAAGCTTATTTTGTGGAGACCAGCGTAACATGAACACAGGAAAACCCCAAGCTGGTTATAAATTAATGACCCAGAATTCATGCACAGTGCTCCGACTTCCTTTACCTGTTCCTAGGTAACAGATGAATACAACCAGTACAAAGTTCTTGTACTTTGTTCATGGTTTTAAGGGGTGTGCACCAAGCAACAGGCTTTCTCTGTCTATAATGGATCCCCCCCAAAAGTACAGGCAACCCAAGTCTCCTGGCTTTACAGAAGCAAGGGTTAAATTGGGACAATTCCAGCAAGATTTGGGCCCTTAGTTTTGTTTGGATGAACAGCATAGTTAATTGAGTGTCATTATTATTTTAATTGTTCTGTCTTTGATTATAGTTTGAATTATTGTATGCCACCCAAAGTCCATACAGGGCATCTTTTAAGTACTGTATTGTTAAATAAATGAAGTGCATGGATATATCTCATGTTAAACATTTATTTTATTGGGATCTGCCTTGTTATTTCAATGACTACTTCCAAAGTATAGTAGCTAATTTGGAGCTGCCAGTTAAATTCAAGCAACAGTTTCCAAATGACTAAAAGTACCTTTTCTA